TACCCTAAAACCCATTGCAACTCTGCCCCCATCCCCTCTTGTGACCTGGTCACCTACTTCCTTTCTGGCATGCTGTCCCTTCTACCCGACATGCACCGCCCCTTCCCTTTTCAACATGACAAGTCATGTGGCTATCGGGTTTTGAGTAAATGTGATGTCCAGAAAGGTCCTCAAATGAGGGTAGTGAGAAGGGAGTCTTCCACCCTTAATGTGGCTACCATTACTGAAGGCATGGGTACCCTCCTCTGTGACTTGGAGGCTCCCCTACACTGGCCCAGGGGCTCTGAGCTAGTTTTGGTGGTTCCCTCACAGTCTCACGTGTGCGCTTTTATGTTCTTTCCAGACTCTGGCAACACATATAGTGTCGGGGAGACCCCAACACAAACTTCCAGAAGCACAGCTACTAGATCAGTTAGTCTACAGGTTTGAACGTGGCTCTCACTGGTGAGCCCAGCCCTAAGCATCTGGAGCTGGAGAGCCTGAGCCATCCATTCAGAGACATCCGGGACAGTGGGGGGAAAGTCTCATCTCAAAATAAATGAATAGATAATTAACAATTATGATGATGATGGGTGTTTCTAGACCCAAGAAAATGCTGCCGTTCTCAAAGTGTGTGCTCTGTGTGCATACGTGAGAACATAAACACACGTCCATACTTTTTTTTTTTTTTTGGTTTGGTTTTTTGAGACAGGGTTTCTCTGTGTAGCCCTGGCTGTCCTGGAACTCACTCTGTAGACCAGGCTAGCCTCGAACTCTCGAACTCAGAAATCCGCCTGCCTCTGCCTCCCAAGTGCTGGGATTAAAGGCGTGTGCCACCACCGCCCGGCTACATCCATACTTATAATATACATATATGTATATATTTATTCATACCCTCTAACACAGAGACTTGCACGCTAATTCACATACACACTCACATTCTCCCCCACATACACACTCGCATACACTCACTCAATATACACTCTCACACAGACACTCAATATACTCCCATACACACTCTCACACACTTGATATACACTCTTCCATGGACACTCAATATACACACTCACATACACACTCACACACACACACTTGGTATACGCTCACAAGTACGTTTCACTCACTGAGGCCCCAGCCTATGATTGCTTCCGAATGCTGACCATGGAGGCCACCTGGGACAAGGGGCACACAATGAACTTGTTAACACGGTGGCAGTGGCTGAGGACTACCTGTAGCCAAAATCAATAACTTCCCTCTGCACATGTGTTGGGGGCTTGTTCTTCCTGGGTAGATTTCGGAAGCACCTTTTTCAAATGCATTGAGGCAAACATGAGGGGCTGTTGAAAGGAAATGAATAAGTGTACAACTGAAATATTTGTGGTCAACTTGTGAGATGGGAAAGGAAGTGGCCAGTGAATATTATATCTTTATCACATATACAGAGAGGTAGAGTCGGACTGCTTGAAGCTGTATCAAAGACAAACAAGACATCATGCATATTGCTTTTTCAGCTTTACACAGCTGCTCAGGAGTAGTCAATATAAAATAAACACATTCTCACCTGTCCATTCAGACAGTCACCAGGCCCACTGAGCTCGAAGATGAGCATTAAGGTGGGGAAACCACATAGAGCATACACGTGTGCACACTCCACACTTTTCCCTTTATATGGGCAGTGGAAAAGGATGGATGGATGGATGGATGGATGGATGGATGGATGGATGGATGGA